TTGCAAATGAATAAATACATCAGATAACTGAAAATGTTGCTTCTCATTTTTTTATTGTTGACTATTTTCTGAGTTACAGCTGTCTAAAATACTTAAGTGGAATAGGTATTCTAATTAGACTTCGTTAAGTATTTTTTTTGTTATTATTGTTCAAGGATGAGCCAAGGCAAAAATATAAAGTCAGCAAAACTTTTGAGATAGATATGTTACTTACTATAGTTCATGGCAGTCTCAACCTGGGTGCTCAACTAAAGCTATTTAACCTGCCTAACAGTTTGTCCTTCAAAACGTGGACAGCCTTGAACCCAAGCAGAGAACTATAAATGGTATCCTGATATCTGAGTTTCAGGGAGGCCCAGCAGTAAATAGAAGAGACACAGGATAGATCTGGGGAATGGTAAGTTTTAAGATTCGTGTTTAAATCATGCCTTTGACCATACTGCTCTCCTAATCAAACATTATTTAGTAACTTAATGTATAAAGAAACTCTGGGGAGAAGAGGGTGGAGTTTAAAGGGATATACTGGGCTCTCCACTAATAAGTTTAGTTTTTACTGACTGGATTAATTAGATCAAAATAATACACATAAATTTTTATTCTCTAGGTTTGTGGAACAGATCACATTGGATATACATGCTGTGTTCTGTTGGAAAGCTAAAAAGCAAAAAGATTTCTAGTTTCCTCCTGATGTACTTTTGGGAATCTTCAACTAAACTACACCGATTTCTATATTCTTTTTTTCCCCAGTTTCTATATTCTTTATTCTTGCTCTTCATTAAAAGAAGTCAAATAAATTATCTTGCAATTCCCTAAAATTAAAGAAATTGCATTTATATGCCTCATCATCTTATAACATCAACTTCTTTAATTGGGAGATTCCATCAACAGGTGTTTTCCAGAAGTTGCCTAACCTTTATGGAGGGTCTACTTTATATCACACATATAAGAGCTGGGTTTTGCCTAACTCTTATAGGCATTATGATCTTACATACTCATCTCGTTTAAATCTTCCCACAATTCAGTGAGGTAGATTTTATTTCTATTTTATAAGTGAGGAAATATGTACATAGGGCTCAGGAATTTAACACCACACAAGATGATTTGAATAAAAAGAGCAGATTTTTAAAATCCAACAAATTAAAAAAAAAGGACATAAATTATTTTTAGGCACATTTAAGGAAAATCACCAGAATCAGATTTTTTTTACCATAAAAACATTTGACACTTGAGTAGATGATAGTAGTACACATAATTTCTAAAAGCCATTGTGAATTTAAATTATCACAGAACTATCAGTGTTGGGTTTCAAATTAAGACTACCTCAAACAACCTAAAATAATGTGTCCATTTGGTTTGAAGACCTAGAAGGAGGGGCAGCCCTGGTGGCTCAACGGTTTAGTGCTGCCTTCAGCCCAGGGCGTGATCCTGGAGCCCTGGGATCAGGTCCCACGTCGGGCTCCCTGTATGGAGCCTGCTTCTCCCTCTGCCTGTGTCTCTGCCTCTCTCTCTGTGTCTCTCATGAATAAATAAATAAGGTCTTTAAAAAAAAAGACCTAGAAGGAAAGAATAATTACCAACTTATGAATTATCATTTTAGTCACACTCAAATTTCAAAAGTATGCTAGTGACTTGAATAAATACACTCTTGAGTATAAAATAAGGTCCAAATTTACTTTAAAATTTTATTTATTTGTTTGTTTTTTACTTTAAAATTTTAAATGGTTTTATTTGTTAAGTGATTATTTATGGCCTATAATCAAATTATAAACTGTTTTTTTAAAAAACCATTTCCTTTTCATGTAAAGAAAGATTATCTTTTAAGTTTGCTTGTTTTCCTTCCCAGCTAGCATTTATGGCACGTTTATTTGGAGTAGAGGTATAAAAAAAATAAAACAAACCCAGCTCTTATGTAAGCTAGAAGATTGACTTTTGGAGTCTCAGAGAAATTTGTTCTTTGTATTTTGCATTTGCTTTGTATTTATGTAGTTCGCAAAAAATAATAATAATAATTCTATCGTTTTTTAAGAAATTGAATAAGTAGCAGGATACCTGTTTTGTTGCTCAGAATTAGTTTGTATGTAATCTCAGGATTTTCCTCAACTGATGATATAGCAATGGTCTTCCAACTGGAAAATGAACTGACAGTTGAGTATCCCAACTGCTTTAGTTACAGTAAAGAAATCCTAATCATTAACTCTAAAAATAAAATCTATTTGCAAAACAGGGATAGTTATAATGATTACCATCTCAAACTTTCATTGACTATTACATTTAGTAAATAATATTTCCTAATGCCTTTGGAAATCTTTCTTACCTTGCCTACTCAAGCCTTTTTCCAATATCCAATTAAAACCTGACTCTAAAAAAAATAATAAATAAATAAAACCTGACTCTATTCAGTAAATGTGTCCCTTATACTATTTTCTTTTCTGCGAAAGCTAATTGATTTAGAGCTTATAAAACTTTTTTGTTTTGTTGTTGTTGCTTTAGGTCCCAAACAAGCAATGTTCTAGAAGGGGACATAAATCATGAATGTAAGAATAATTAAACTATTCATAGGATCTAGAAAGCTCCTCACTGTTTCTTCAAGGTTTATTCATCCATTTGTGTATTCAGTGACAAAGGATTTTTGAATGCCTCCTATGTAAAATAAATTGTAATTCTTCAAAAGTGTTTTGTGCAAGTATACCATTACTGGGAGGACAGTTATTAGGCCATTCATTTTCTGTTTATTTTGCAAGGAAATGTACCCCTTTGAGCCTGTTTGATTTGGATATGTATTCCTAAAGTAAATATTGCTATTGATGGCTTCCTGTTTAATGTTGAGCTAGCCAAGTGATCCTAGAAATCTTCCGGTTGTGTTAGTTTCCTTTTACATAGATTCCAGTGTAATTGCTTTCATATTATTCCATACAGAAAAACCAACGACCTCCTGTATTCAAACTTTTATACCAGCTTATTCTTACACTTCCTAAGAGACAAATTACTTAACAAAAATGACACTATTATTTTTAAGTAATGATGTTATATCCTGTTCAAGCCAACATGTAACGTATGTCACATTAATTTTTAGACAGAAATTAAATTAACCATGCTGGCTTCCTGGTTCTTGGGAAGTTATTTATTACTCTTTTTTCTTATCTGCAAAATTAAATTAAATTAAATTCCGCCTAATCTATCAATGTTCCTGCATCTCAACCCACATCCTCTGCTCTTCCTGCAGGAGCACAGCCCCTCCACTTGTGTCCCAGATACTGTTCCTCCTTAACTTCTATAGGGCTCTGTGGGTCCTTTCTCTCTTCTGCATCATCCTTCTTCTGCAGCATAAAAGCCTGCTGTAATACCTTCCATCTTACTTTTATTTGAAAAAGCCCTCTCTTGACTCCCCATCCCACTATAGTTCTGCTCATTTCCCTGCTCTCTTTTGTGGAACTCTACCTCTGATTCTGTTGTCTTCATTCCCTCACTCTCTACTTATGTCTTTCACACAAACCCACATCTTTCACTCCTCCACAGCACTGTCTCTTGAACCCATTGCAGTTCTGCTTTATTTCATTTCTAGTCCAGAAAAGAGTGTGTGTTAGGGTCACAAAGGACCTCTGTGGTATATCCACTATAGAATTCTCAGTCCTCATCCAACTTGACTTTTCAGCAGCATTTGGCACAAGTGATGATCCCTTTTCCATTTTCTTCACTGTGTTTCCAAGACAACTGTCTGATCTCCTTTACTCCACCTTCTCTCTTAGTTGCTGAATTTGCCTCCTCTTCCCAACTAGGATCAGTCTTCAGTCCCATTTTACTCTTCTTCAGGTCTTCAGCAATCTCATTTCTGAGCTGAAAACTTCCAAAGTTATATGCCTATCAATGTGAAACAAGACCAACTTTATTTCTCATTGTGATATACAGCTAGAAAAAAGATTCTATGGGATCCTTTGGTCTTGATTTCACATTTATTCCTGCATTCTTCCTGCTTATCCTTGGGATCAAGCATTATGTTCTTTTGTCCATTTATCTGACAAATACTTATTGAGCAATATATGCCACACTGTATGCTGGCTTATCCATAATCTAGGCTTCTAATGGTTTCTGGTCCTTGTTTTCTCTCTTTTTTTTCTATCAGTTCTTCTTGTTCAATTTTAGCAATTCCCAATACTTCAGATATGTGGTAAGGAGCCCCCAGATTCATGTTCCCAGTACCTGTGAATATTTTCTCCCCAAAGCTGCAAACTCAAAATTCTACACCCTAGATTTCTATACCTGGAGCAAATGCTTCAAATTTAATGATACAATTTAAATGCAATTGTGGTAGAAAAGCAAACACAGGGCAGCCTGTGGCTCAGCGGTTTAGCGCCGCCTTCAGCCCAGGGCCTGATCCTGGAGACCGAGGATTGAGTCCCATGTCGGACTCCCTGCATGGAGCCTGCTTCCCCCTCTGCCTGTGTCTCTGCCTCTCTCTCTCTCTCTCTCTCTCTCTTTCTCTCTCTCTCTCTGTGTCTCATGAATAAATAAATAAAATCTTAAAAAAAAAAAGAAAGAAAAGAAAAGCAAACACAAACAAACGCTGGTGCCCTTCCTGCCTAAGTCAGACTTGAGTCATTCTCAATTCTTTCTCTTCTTTTAGCCCACAGTGCCCTTTCTAAATATCTCTGTGACTGGTCCCCTTGTCTCTATTCCTACTAATACTGCTTCATCACTTAACATGCCGTAAGCATTTTTTCTCTAAGGATCTCTGTGCTTCCATTCTTATATTCCTTCATTTCTTGCCCCATTTTGCTGCCTAAATTGAAATCTGAATATTTCGCTGCTCTAAGATAACACCTTTGCCAGTTCTCCATCTCCTACAGAGAAGCTCACAGTATTGTTCCTTCTTAGAACAAAACATTTGAACCTCATCAGCTCTTCTGTAAAGACTTGACATTTCTGGCCCAACAGAATGACTTGTACATCTAAGAAGTGGACATGCTTTTTCTGACCTTTTGTCTCTGTATACGTTTCCACAGCCTGTGTATCTGGTGAATGCGCATCTTCCATCAAGACTCAGATCAACTGGATGCCTGCCTTCAGATCCCATGATCCTGGGATCAAGCCCTGCATTGGGCTCCTTCGTAGGGGAGCCTGCTTCTCCCTCTGCCTATGTCTCTGCCTCTCTTTCTATGTCTTTCATGAATAAATAAATAAAATCTTTAAAAAAAAAAAGACTCAGATCAACTTGGGGCACCTGGGTCGCGCAGTTGGTTGAGCATCAGACTTAGTTTCTCCTCAGGTCATGATCTCAGCGTCCTGAGATGAAGCTCCACCTTGAGCCCCACCTTGAGCCCCACCCGGGGCTTGTGCTCAGTGTGGAGTCTGCTTGGGATTCTTTCCCTCTTCCTTTCTCTCTCCTTTTAGTCCTCCCTCTGCTCACCTGCTCTCTCTCTCTCAAAGAAAGAAAGAAAGAGAGAAAGAAAGAAAGAACTGACAGATCAACTTATACTGTCTTTGAAGCCCCTCAAGCCCTGACACTACTCGTAATTAGGCCTTCTCTCCTCTCTGTTATTATACCTTATATAGATATCTTTTTTTGTTATTTTTAAAAAGATTTTATTTATTCATGATAGAGAGAGGCAAAGGCAGAAGGAGAAGCAGGGATATGGGACTCGATCCTAGGATCCTGGGATCACGAGCCGAAGGTAGGCACTTAACTGACTGAGTCACCAGGTTCCCCTAGATTTCTTTGTTTTTTTCCATTTATTTCATATATTCTAATTATTTGTCTCTATGTCTGCCTACTTTAACATACAGGGAAATCTATGCAGGCAGAAACTATGTATTAATAACCCTAAAATTTCAGTTTTTAAATTTTTATTTCATCTTTTGTAAAGAACAGGGAACATCTGATATGCACTATCATATAACAAATATTTTCTAAAATAAACTGTGGAAGTTTAGATTATGAGACAAAACTTTTTTTCTAAAGCATAACTATTTTCCTAATATGAGTTACTCACTTATACATTTATTTTTTTAATAGTGAAATATAACCCATATACCATAAAATTCACCCTTTTAAAGTATATAATACAGTGCTTTTAAAATATATTTACAAAGTTATATAATCATCACCACTCTCCAATTCCAGAACGTTTCCAATTCTAGAACATTTTCATTATCCCCAAAAGAAATTCATTAGCAGGTATTCTCCATCTCCACCCTCTCTCCAGGCCAATTAATCTGCTTTCTACCTCTATTTTTTTATATTTGCCTAATCTGTATATTTAATATAAATGGAATTATGTAATATCTGGCCTTTTATGCCTGGCTTCTTTCATGCAGCATCATGTTTTTAAGGTTCATCCATGTTGTAGCATATTTTATTACTCTTTATGACTGAATAATGTTCCATTGTATAGATATATCATATTTTGTTTATCCATTCTTTAATTAGTGAATACTTGGGTTTTCTGCTGTGGGGCTATTATGAATGATGCTTCTATGAATGTTCATGCACAAATTTTTGTGTGGGTGGACATATATTTTCAATTCTCTTAAGTAAATGTTAGAGATGGAATTACTGGGTCATATAATTCTATGTTCTTTGAGGAACTGCCAAATTGTCTTCCAAAGTGACTGCAATATTTCACATTCCCATGAGCTATAAAGGTTCCAATTTCTTTACATCCTTGCCAACACTTCCATTGTTTGTTTTTTTGATTATAGTCTTCTTGGTGGGTATGAAGTGGCATCGCATTGTAGTTATATAGGGTCTGATATCATCCTCCCATAGAAGGGCTATAAAGATTTCCATTCTATTTAGAAACAATATGTAAATATTTCATTTTATATTACTCTGAAACAAATTGGAGGTAAGACTCTCAGAAGATGGAACTATTCTTCCTACTTATCTAAAATGTTTCATAGGACTCAGCAAATTTTAAATTATTTCTTATTATTCCTAAGATACTTCCAACATTCTCCTGTTTCCCATTCTTGTTTTCTGGCAATATAGGACCCTCAAATGCTGTTAATTAAGATTTGACTCCTGTTGATTTTGAGGGAAAAATACTTTCTAGTTCCTATCTAGTCTACATGTAAGCATTATATGACTGTTAAGGGCTAAGGAAAAAGATAATACATTTAATTTGTCTCCCTTGTGACTCTTGAGGCTTTTTGTCTTATTTTTTCTTAACTATTCTTTTCTGATAACTAGCAATTACTTTGTTTTTGTCTGCATTTAACCCACTCAACTTACTATTGTTTGAAACTTTTTATAACAGACTATAAATTCCTTTCTGCTGCACAACATGGGGGTATTCAGCATAGACAGTGGGTTTTAGAAGTCGAGTAATTTGTTTGAACATGTGGAGTGTGGAGTGACATTTGTTATAGTGGCTGTTCGTAACTTTACACACACATTCCTTTGGTTGAGTGTTACAAATGAGGTGACTGTGATTGTGGCCAGCCCTCCAGTCTCTAGTTGAACAGAGGATTATTCTAATTTATACAAAAAATGGTGACAGTGATTTGCCCAGATGGATTCCCAAGCTGATAAGATATAGTGAGATGCTGCAGGCCACTTTCTGCAGTGTTAGGACTTTTGAGAGACTTCTGTTGACATGTCCCAAATATATTCTCATGGGGTTATTGCTCTATTTTTCCAATGCTTCTAAAAATATTCATCCTATGATCTTGTATTTATGCACTTTAAGTATTTCTCAATTTTGTTTGGAGGCTTTAGCTTAGTCATTGACTAAATGCTTTTTTCATTCATTCACAAATTATTCACCCTGGATCCTTGGTGGAGGTGCCTGTGATTTTCATTACTTTTACCACTAAGCCATTATCTCCTCAAGGACTTGTCTGACTTTTCCTTAAACTACCGTGTATTTATTATATAGCTGTGTATAACCTAATCTACCCATTCCATACAACCAGATATCAGATATTTTAATTTCACTCTCATGTGAGTGCATAGCTGAACATTTAGCTTAAATAGTATTACTTCACCCTTACAAATAGGCAGAACTAAACATATAATCACCATATAATTCACCAATAATTACCAATGAAGCACAATTATTTTATTTTGAGCTAAAGTCAAAAGTAATAAGCATCCATATTTGTCTGTTAATATACAGTGATTTTTAAAAGGAAGGAAAGCAAATTATGTAGAAGAATCATTTGACCTGATAAATGTTTGAAAGTTACTTACCTTAAATATACCTCATCAGTGATGGTGGTCCTGTCTCATTTTTACCTACTAATGCATTTTAAATATAAAGTACTTTATTCTGCTTTCAATTTCTTTGTTACACTGACTTTTCCTAAATAGAATGTTAATATTTTTCATTGATTCTTAAGATTAATATTGGCAAGCAGCTAACTTCCTATGTTAAAGTATATCTTTCTCACTAGTAAAATTTCTTGTTTTTATTGTTTATGCCTCTAACAAAATTACATTTAATTTATGCCACTAGGAACTCTGAAGATAGGCCATAAAAAATTGTCCTTTCTCTTTGCCCCCAAGAATATAATGCTTATCAAACTAAAACTTTGAGGCAGATTAAAGAGCAGAATTGACATAGCCATGTGTGTTAGCAACTGGAATTAAAAGAAGTTGAGGGTAACCCCGGTGGCTCGGTGGTTTAGCGCTGCCTTCGGCCTGGGACGTGATCCTGGAGACCCAGGATGGAGTCCCACATCCGGCTCCCTGCGTGGAGCCTGCTTCTCCCTCTGCCTCTGTCTCTGCCTCTCTCTCTCTCTCTCTCTCTGTCTCTCATGAATAAATAAATAGAATGTTTAAAAAAAAAAGAAGTTGAAGCTCAAAACATATCCCATTTATCATGAAGTTTATATGATGAGGAAATTTGCCACTGCTCTAGTTAGATGTACACCTGCAAAGTCTGGGACTTATAAGAATGTCTGTAAATGGAAGGTATATGGGGAGTTCCCATAGTTACTGCAGCATTTGTTTCAATTCAAATGTGTGATTTATCACATACTCACAGTGCATAAACTTGAACAGAGTGTGTAGCATGGAGCTTGGATGACATGGTTTTATGGTTCCAGATGTTTTCAAATCATTCAAATTTGCTTTGAACTAAATGATCCATCCATTTTTTTAGAATTGTTTTTCTTTCATTGCCAGTTGCATCCATTTTCTCTAAGGAAGAAGAAGCATCTTGATCCTAAAATAATTAATTCTTGTTGAATTCTAAACTAGTAGGTCCTATTCTATATCAGATCATCATATCACTTTCAACAACTTTAAAAGTCAAGAGTTTAAAGTTCCTCGCTTCCATTTTGTTGACTTCATTGGCCAAATTCTTCTTATGAAAATGATTTTAGAATCCTAATTTTAGTAGCAATGCCCTTTAGGACAGAGACTGGATGCTGCTAGATGCCTGGCTGTGTTATTGGTCAAGCTACAGAGCCATGTAAAGCCATAGTTTTCCTATATAGAAAATGGGTAATAATAAAATAGGAGAGCCTGCTTACCTGAGAAGAATTGATACTGGAAGAAAAACTCACTTAAAATGAGTATACTTCAAATACCATACATTTTATAGCAAATTATAAGAAGTTTGAAAATTCATCTTTAAAAATTCAAGCTAAACTATCTTATAATGAATTCATTTTAATTCATAGTTTAACATTGCAAAGATATGCTATTTTTTAGCATAATACAGAATGAAGCAGGTATTAATTGTTGGCATAATTTTGCAGGGTAAAATTATATGATAGACAATCTGCACTTCAGACTCAGCTTTTATTTTATTTTATTTTATTTATTTATTTATTCATTCATTCACGAGAGATGCAGAGAGAGCGAGAGAGAGGCAGAGACACAGGCAAAGGGAGAAGCAGGCTCCATGCAGGGAGCCTGACGTGGGACTCAATCCCGGGATTCCAGGATCAGGCCCTGGGCTGAAGGTGGTGCTAAACCGCTAGAGCCACCCGGGCTGCCCCAGACTCAGCTTTTATAGCAGGATCATAATTTTTTGATATTTAATTCTTTTTTTTCTTTTTCTTTTTTTTTTGAAAACATAACCTGCCAACAGTTTGCTGATTTTTTTTCAGTTGCTAGCTACTCTAAATCCTGCCAAGTCTTCATTTGTTTGTGTTTTTGGCTGTGATTTGAACAGTGTTCCAGCATATTTTTTTTATCAATTTCATGAAAACCACAT